AAAACGCGTCCCCTAGGACGTGCGCTATTAGTAGCACTTGGCATGCAGCTAGCTTGCAGTAGCGTGCTTAAATGTCGCTGTATACTATCGTAATAAATTTGACACTATGCCTATATTAGTTAGCTACTAAGAATAGCTATGGCACATGCCCGCAGCAGATACTGTTGCAACGTGACCTTAGCCGCTATCGCCGTTTACGCTGCCTAAAGATGCTGATGCCGTCGCTACACTAAGATACAATATAACAACCCTATCCCCGTATCGGCCCTCCTCCGGCTTATAGTTAGTTAGAGTTTTCTTTATAGTTAGTGCTACTCTGCTGCTGACGTCTATCCCTCCGTGACGGATATTAGATAGGTCAGCAATGAACATGCAGCCAATCAGTGTACGCGCGCTGACCGCCTTAGCCAGCGCCATGACTACCCAGCGTCCATCCCTCCGTGACGGACGTTACTAAATCGGTACAGATAATTCCACGGAGGTGCGGAACAGATATATAAATGCTCTGTCTACCCCTAGCTTAGACGTTGTTCTCCAACAGACGAATTCATTCTTTTTAATACTATATCTCGAAAACCCAGCAGTTATGCAAATCCTTCGCATTTTCTCTGTGCTTCTTAGCCTCGCAATAGCAACAGCCTTACCAGTCCCTGAGTCTGCCAACGAAATTTTCAACAGCCCACAATTATCTGGACGGAACAGATGTCTTTACAACACTCCTATTACATGTTCCAACAACAACGGATGTCCTTCAAACGGCGGCTGTGCTTCTGCTGGTGTCTGCTTCTATGACTGCTAAGCTAGCTGCCTAATGCTTTTCTCTATATTGGTTACTAATATTGTATGTCATACATCTCTTAAAACACGTATAATTAAGGCGAGTTTTATTAAGGTGTTAGTGCTGATAGACATGAAGTCGTTGGCATATACATCCTGTTAGGTCTAGCGTCCTTCGCTCCTGAAAGGGCCTATTGTTAGTCATAGGGTATAGTGTCAAAGTATATCGAGTGTCCAGGCATAGCGAGCGTCCTGGAATGCCAAGATTCTACTAAAAATCACGTCTTATAGACTATTATAACGCAAATACTATAGTAGATACAAATTGTAGAAGGCTATCCTATTTAAAACACATCCCTCCAGCTTGCTTGTATATGCTCATGTTATGCCCAGTCTCCCCGCAGCGTCTACAGTGTAACGGCACAGGCAAGACTACTCGGATCAGTATCGGCGGTAGTGTCACTCAGAGGCATATGGGAGTGCGTGGGACATCAAACGAGCCTTGATTCAAATAGACA